CTTTTCTTTTGACGGCGGCCATTGATTGTTTACATTTCAAACAGCAGATTAGTGGATTTGTTGCCAATCTAGAGTAACTTAGCTTCGCTACAACAAAGATAATGCCTTCATTTATTATTGCCAATTAAATAATGATTAATCCTTTCTGGAATATCTATATTAAAATTTACTTCGTAATTTTCAATATAGATATTTTGCGTTCTTATGTATTTTTGCCTTCTCGCGAAGTGAGAATTGAATTAATTGAATGAGAAATACTCAATCGTCAGTGAAAAACTGTTTCTTTTTTATTTTGCTTGCTTAATTTCTTTTATAGATCATTCTAGCTTTATTATAGTATTTGAATAGAACATGTGGCAACTATAAGATAATTCTATTCTTTAAATGATATAAATTTTGTGCATTATGAGTTATAATATGAACGAAATATAATACTGTTAAGTGAATCTAGCGCCAGAATGTCGCTATGGTAAACAAATACTGAGTGAATTTTAAAGAATGCATTTATTCTAGTGTGGTTTATGCGCTGTCGGCGAAGTAGATTTAATTCAAACCAATAAGTTTAAATGAAATGCAAGAAAAAGTGCGTATAATTTAATATTCCGTACAAGGAAGTCATGGGGTGTATACATCAGATTTTTTATATTGGGCATGAGCGGGAAAAAAGTCACATCTTTCTAGCTTTCAAATAATTTTAGCAAAGTGTCTAAACTACATTTGACGTTTTATCGCTTTCAACAAATATTCCAAATTTAAAAACGCGCCAATATATCACAATTGGTATGTTATTTCAGAAAAGTCCAATTTTGCGTCAAAATACCTATATTAGACAATGCTATATATAAATGTAATACATATTCCAAGTCTCCTTTTCGAGACATGAAAAATGCAAGTTCAATTTCGTCAATCGGCCCAGTAGAACGGAAGATATAGAAATGTCCCACTTTTTTTTCTGTGCAGTCTTGTACATTGCCGTATGCAGTGATACAATAGAGCTCTGGCTTTAACAGGTAAACATTCCGGAGTGATTTCTCAAATAATGAAAGTCGCACCTGAAACTAAATTTACTCAATGCTCTTTATACATCGTGAAGCTTTAGCAGCTAAACCAATCCCTGAAAGCCTGGAAATCGTTTTAAATGAAGCTGTGAACATTGCTAATTTTATTAAATGCAGAGCTTTAAATTCAAGAATATTTACGATTTTATGACAAGAGATGGGCACTGAACATGAAACGTTTTTTTACATTCCGAAGTAAGGTAGTTATCTAGAGGCAATGTTTTAAATCGTCTTTTTAAACTTCGAGCAGAAATTCTAATTTTACTCTGTGATTCAAAATTTGAATTGCAAAACGTTTATTTAGTGAATTATGGTTGGCGCATTTAGCATATTTAGCTAATATTTTTGGACAGTTAAATGAATTTAATTTGGGATTACAAATACAAAATGTTAATTTGCTTACCGTTAAGGATAAAATGATAAACAAACTTAGGCTAATAATCCAAGAATTGGATAATAATGTTTTAAGCTTTATGCCACTTTTAGAAATTTTGTAACCGAAAATAATTTTAAAATAGAAGATGAATTAGCATCCGACATTAAAAGTCATTGTTTTTCACTAATAGATAATTTCAACATGTATTTTCCCGAGCATTATGAAAAAAATTGAATGAGACATCCGCTTTGTTCTAATATACCTGAAATTTTATCTCGCGAAGAAAAACCACAATTGATAGAAATTTCCTGTAATCGAACTCTATCTGAAGATTTCAAGGGATGAGACATTTGTTAACCTTTGGCTTAACCAAAAAAAAAAAAAAAAAAAAAAAAATTAGAAGCATTTTAAATGAAGCTATTAAATTTTTATTGCCTTTTTGCACACCCTGTATGTGTTAACAAGGATTTTCTTCCATGCTATATTTAATAAATAAATACAGATCAAAATTAAATCTAGATTCTCATTTACGCTTAAAACTAAGTGAAATAAGACCAGACATAAAGAAATTGATTTCTCTTAAACAGGTCAAATTTTCTCACTAAATTGTAGAATTAATGTATCATAAGTTAAATTTTGATAATTAAAATAGTATCCAATTTTTTATCTCATATTTTTATGAGTATATATTTAATTCAAATGGCCAATAGGTTGTGCAAATGGCAAAATATGTTTTAGCTCAGAAGGGCTATTAATTTCATAACAACATTTTGCGTCGATTCACTTTTCAAACTGTTGCCACCAAATATTATAGCCAAATATTATCGGAATACATATTATGTATTTAAAGAAACTAAATAATGAAAAATCTGCATGAATGAATGAATGAACGCACTGTGAAAAAACAATGGTAACTTGAGTCAGCAAATTTTGAATAACGTAGTCTTCCAAATTAACATAACCACTTGGAAGCCCGAGTTTTGAATTTCGAATTTGTTTTATTATCTATTTGAAATTTTGCAAAACTTTAACATGTTTGCAATGGCAACACTGTACAAAGCAAAATAATCTCCAGAGCGCGAGACCGTGTATCGGAAATTCTAAAGGTATGCTGGTTTGCTGTTTTTAAATATTTTGTGATATTGCTGTTGAATTAAACTTTATGTATATTAAGTGGACGAACATGATATTCAATAAATAAAGGTAACACAACAAACGCTAAAAAAAGCCCTTTGGGCGTAATGCAAAATCTGATAGCTTTCAGATTTTTACTTTTATTTTTATAATTTTATATTTGCTTTTGAATTTAATCGTATTGTCGAAAATATTCTTTCTTTCTTTTAAGCTCAAATGGCGTTAGGCCAGAAGGGCTATTAACTTCGTTTTGGCATTTTGCGTTGAAAACTTAAATGCCCGCTTCACATTTAAACCGCTGCCCCCAGTATAATCGCCCTGTGTTATCTTTAAAGAAATTAAATAATGAAGAATCTGCATAAATGTATGTATGTTTCTCGCATTGTGATCAAACAGCGGTAGAAGCGCCCTAATTTGGAATTTATTTTATTATCGATTTCATATTTTGTAACACTTTAACGAAGTTTTGATTAAAAAACGCAACGATTTTGATTGAAATGCACTACTTGATTGAAATGCACTACATTTGAGCAATGCACTACTGTAAGGAAAAAAAAATTAACTGCAGCGCGCGAGACTGTACATCGGAAATTCTAAAGATATGCTCTTTTAAATAGTTTGTGATATTGCTGTTAATAAATAAAGGTGACACACAAAACGTTTAAAAAACGATCGTTTGGGCGTAATATAAAATTTGAAAGCTTTCAGATTTTTTTAAAAAATATTTCTATTGAAAAATTGAAAAATAGTCATTGCAAAATGTAGTGATGGTTCTAAAGTTTTTCAATTTCTGTTTAGATGGTACGCGTTATTGAAAAGGTTGAGAATCGCTGCACTAGATGATATTAGTTATGAGATTATCATTGGGTATACTTGATTAGTTTAAAAGAGAATTTTTAAAATACAGCTGCTCAGGAGGAAAAAAGTAAAAGCACATACCCGTTCAGAAGTTTAAAAAATACAAATTTCATAGAAATATCATAAAAGACGAATCAGTTAAATATCGTATTAAATTGTATAAATTACACATTAAATTGTATAAAAAATTAATTTAGAGCACGGACGTAAACAGATACGAAATTCATGTAAAATTTCGAAAGAAAATTTTGAATAATAACAGTGTAAGATTTAATAAAGGAAGAAACTGCATCTATGTTTTCATTATTGCAGAATATAACTGTGAAATGAAGTTAACTTGTTATGCGCTGGAATGGTTAGATAAAAACTGTTTTCAGCTTAAAAGACTTCCATTAAATATCTCCAGCCTAAAGCATTCATATACCTAAAAAAGAAATATGTCTTTTGGTCTTTATAAGGTTTTTTTTCTCCCCACCGTTTTGCTTGAATGAATGGTCCAACGCGTAAATGGGTGGTTCGGAATTCGAATCCCGGCGAAGGCACTACACGTTTTTCACGTATCCTGCATTGATAAACCTAATAATTGTAAAAATTATTAAAACTTAAAAATTATTAAAAACCTTTCCCCCTTCTTCAGTCTTCTAATAAATATTTTGAGGGTGATGTAACAACTTCGTAAACTCGAGCACATGTGATTATGCTATTTGGATTAATTTATTAATAAAGTTTGATCTTTACCTATTATTTATGCTATTTGAATCAATTTTTCTTTATTATTTTATGTTTAACATTTATTGAAAGTAATATAAGAACAACATGATGGTATTTTAAAAATCAATGTTTTGTTAAAAATAATTAATTGCATATATGTCAACTTAAATTAAAATAGAAGCTATTTCTTCATTCATTAAGTAATGCATTCTTTTTCTTCTTCTTTTTTTCGTATTGAAAGAAATGCCTTCAACTATAATCCTATAGAAAAATTAAAAATGAACCTGCTACTCTATTTAATGGCACTGAGTAAAAATAATAGATTGTGACCAAAACCAGATAACTGAATTCGTTCATTTCATTACAAATTTTTTTAGTAATAAGTGCATTATTTTCCTAAATTGTAATCAATTCTTTGGTACAATCTGTTTTTGCATTAGTTGTTGAAGTTGAACAATCTGTTACACTTTCTGTTCGTTTTTAAAATTTGAATCAAGTAATGTGAATTTAATTTTATTCTGAACATATTCGACAATTTAACAAGCATCTACAACCTGTTTTAAACAGCGGTTAAGAAAATAGATGAGTACTATAACCACAGTGACTAAAAATAAGGGAAAGCGTAATCAATAAGATTATTTTAGCCTATGGAATGGAATTTTTATGCTGGAGGAATCAATATTACGAGACGCATGTATAAATGACTTGGGCAGTGTCATCACTTTCAGAACAAAAAACAAAAGAATATAAACCCAGATTCTTGATATCTCAGCCAGATGGCAGGTCATTCGCTTTGGCGCGAGATCTGGCAAAACGAAGCAGAGATTTACCCTTAGTGTGAAACTTCCAGGATTCAGAGAAGAGTGAGGTTGTGGCATCAACTGTCCTGAGCTATCCTGAAAGCTTTGTTCGCACGCGGAGCCTAAAATTATGTAAACAGCGAATAGATTTGAACAATCTCAAAATAAAAGGACAGTTTCGGAGCGCATATTAATACAGTAAGAGTTTCCTTAGTGTTTTTTATTTATTTCCTAAATGATAAGGTGATTTTTTAATTTTTCTTTGTACCTAAAGTTTGTTTAACTCTTGTACTTGACAAAGGGCATTATGAATACATTACTTGTATACTAGAAAAATTATTTAAATCAATGTCTTTGAATATTTTAAGCTCACAAACAGCTTAGAAATTTAGTAAATTATAGGCTAGATTTATCAGATAAAATGAAATTTCATGTGGAGAAAAAATAACTCTAAATTATAAGTTATGTACTGCAAAAGGTTTAAATATTTAATTCCCACTTTCATTCTAGTTATTGGTATCCTAAATGTGTTGATTTGAATAACACCTTAAATAAAATATTTTTTTATACAATTAAGATCCAATTTAACTACTTTAAAGTTATTTTCTAGCAGAATGTAAATAGGTTCTGTAGGACAGCAAAAGATAGCTATCAAATATTGAGAATAATTATTCTTTTATGTAATAAAGAAAATTGTAAATTCTCTCTCCAATTTCATATCACTATTCCTGTGACTCTTGAATAAACGTCCACTTTGATTTGTTAATCATACTTCATCAATGAACTCTTTGAAATGTGAAAACATTCTAAACCTTTTTAGACACCATAATCATTCACCTTGTTTCTGCATTTGTTAAAATGCGAAATTTATGCATGCACTTCAGAGCAACACGCGAAAGATGCAATATTTAGAGAGTGGAATCAGAAAAGTAAATTTGTAATAATTTTTTTGTAAACACATAAATATCCACGTGATGATACTTATGTTTCTTTTCATTTCTTTATCTGTTATTAAAATGATTAGAATATTAAAATATATCATCATGTACTAAATGGTAAATTGAGTATGTGTATTGAATAATAAAATCTTTAGCGTCTATATAACTTTTGAAGCAAATTAATTTTTTTATTCGGCGGCGTTAATAAGATAATTAGGCTTCCGAAATGTAAGCTTTTCTTTAAATATGTTAAGGACACAACAATTATCTTCTAAAATAATTATCTTTTGAACTTTTAATGAACGATGATATTTTAGAAAAATTAAAGAATGAATCAAAATGTTTGGAAATTGAAACATACCATCATCTCTAAAACAAAAAAGGCTAGAATATGAGATAATATTTTCTCCTTCAATACACATGTCTAAAAACCATACTTGCCATGTAATGAATGAAAGCCTAATTATGAAAGAATATATTATGATAACTTATTATTTAATTTTGTGACTTACTTATTTAAACGTATGCATTTGATTTTACTTCACGGACGGTATTTAAGGGGATTTAATTATTTTCATCTTAGATACTGTACGTCATGCAAGTCCTTTTTTGTTTTCTTGTAAACGCTTTCGTAAATATAAGGCGACTTTTCTTCATTCGTAAAGCGGTCTTGTATTAATGACTCGTTAAGCAGTCTTATCTTACACGGGCTGTGATCAAATCATTAAATGGGACAAAGGTAATAGGAAAAGTTACGAACAATTATATTACAGTAATAAAAATATTAAAAATTATTAAAACTATTTTATGATTATAAATATAAATAATACTTTTAACTTTTAAATTTCGAATCTACACATGAAATTTATGGTGCAAAGTTGTATGGAAGTACATATATACAGTATCAAAATCTTAGTTAAAAATCACCTTTCCGATTTTTGTTGACGAAGTTGAAATATATTCAGGGTCAATTTTAAATATTTTATTAGCTGCTATTATTCATTCCTAAAGTGCGTGTATTTTTCTGAGTTTTGAGCGTATTGTTAAATTTTGTTTCTCATCATCAATTGAAAATTTGTCTGATTGTGAAGGAATTTTTATAAACTAATTAACGAAGGATTTAAAAATAACATCCGTTGAAGGAAGGAGGTATAAGATACAGATTATTAACAAGATTTCCTGAGTTTATGAATGCATGGAAGCCATGTTTCTGAGTTTGTGTGACTGTTAAAATATTTTGAAGGTAATTAGGATAACTAAAAGCTATTTAACAAAAACATTACTAAACTATTATAATTAATATTATGTAATATTTCTATATTTGGCTTCAAAGAAACGAATTATTCGTATGTAAGAAGTCGTGTAATTATTTTAAATAACGAAATAAAGAGCTAATTAAAATGATTATTTAAAATAATAACTTAAAATAATAATAACTATAACGAATTTCAGATTCTATTTTTTTCAGTTTAATTAGCGAAGAATTTAAAAATAACGTTTGTTAAAGGAAGGAAATACAATAAAATATAACATATTAGGCAAATTTTAAACATTTATGATTTCGTTCAAGGCACATAATTATTTAATATGCTCATGGCACATATGATTTATGTTTTAATTTAAAAGTGAGTTAATACTGGAGTATATTTATTATTATATGATTTTTCAGTTGTTTATGGTAGAGAGCATCAAAGTTTTAGTTACATTTCAGATTGTAATAATTCATGCAAGAGGAAAATCATATGAATTATTATTTTTAACCAAAACTTAAGTTTACATAAAAATTACAATTTATATTGAACTAACGTTGTTTAATTGTTTGAATGTAATGTCTTTCTAGTATCGTGAACTTTGATGAGAGACGCTTCAAGGAGTGTTAGCTGAAGATTTCGTATTGTTAGATTTCTTTTTTTTATATTTGTATGGAATTATTTAATTTTAAGGTAATTTTATTTAAATTGTGGGTAATTAGACAATAGTTAATAGAAGTATATATTTATGCTTCTATTAACTATTGTCGAAGACATACCATGAAACATAGTTTTTTAAAAGAGAAAACTTGTTTAATGTGCTGCATAAATATCAGTCCATAATGTTTCTTAGAGCAAATTTTTAACTAACGAAGTTAGTTAGGGAAAGCAATAGGACAGAGATAGCCTTATTAAATAGTGAAAATAAATAGTTCATTATTTTGTAAAATTAGGTAAACATCAAGCTTAGTTTGGCGCAAATTTTGAATAAAATTTTGTCAATTTAGATAAAGCTGATAGAGTTTTATTCAAAATCTAAGCCAAATTTAGGCTACCATTTTTGCCCAATTTTAAATTTTATATTGTGTGTTTGTTTCCTGTTGAAATAGTTAAGCAATTAAAAGCGGCAGTCAAAATTTGCTTACAAATGCGTAATAATGTAAATAGAACAAACATAACTTTAAATAGAAGGAATACACATTAAATAGAAGAAATGAATATTGTACGATATAATGCAATTCTCAGCAAATAGCGAATAAACTAATTTTCAAAAGAATTAAATTAGATCGGGAAATTTTATCTAAAATTGTTTGCCAAATCTGCATTTGTTAGCCAAATTTGAATTTACATCGTGAAAAGTAAATTACAGTCAAGACTTACACGAATTGCTTTTAAATATTTATCTTCTAATGTTCTTCACTGAAAATTATAACCCAGGTTAAATATTTCTAGGTATTTGTTAATTGTTTGAAAGCATTGGAGTGGGAATCATTTGTATGTGTTTAATAAACAGTTTCTACGTTTTGAGAAATAAATACAGCTTTATTAACTATTGAGTTTGTTGTACTCTAGAATAATAACTTAAGCGAGCATTTTTGTAAAATGTTGGAAGATTTTTAATTGTTCTAATTGTTTAACTGTGTTTATTATGCAATAGTATTTCTGAAATTAAAATAATTTGGAACATCTTTTGATATAAACAATGATACAATTCTACAATGTAATCGAGAAATTCGGAATGGGTAATATTTCACAATTTTAAGTGTGAATGCATTTATTTGCAAAAACAATTAAGATTTTTATAATACTTTTATATTTTTATACTATTATTATTGAAGCACATTTCTAATTATTTTCCTCATAATCCGTAATCAAAATATTATTTATTGTTCAATAATTCATATTTTAAAATCTTTAGTTCAACCTTCTGCAATGTTTTAAATTCATTCTATTGAGAAAAAGCATATGCATTAATAAAAATTTAAACTACAGCTGCAAAATCTGAAATGCAAATATTTCGGAAGAACTGTATAAATAATTAGAATTTCAGTGCCAGTGAAATCATAGATTTCAAAGTGCATGAGAAAAGCGAAAGTTGCAGCATTAAAGAACCGATGTTCTCATTCACGGGAAATTTTAATTGGATTTTCTGTTTTGATGCTTCAAGTTGTGCACAAAGATGACTTTGAGACGTACTCGAAACTAGTATGAACATTTGCCTGATTTAGGAAGAGATCATATCATAGGCACACTAAAATTGAGCTACTTAAACAAACATATCAACGGCCATCACGGTTGGACCAATATGGGAGTGGTACAAAGATGACAGTAGTAGGTCAGAGAAAGTACATAATAATGTCACAGACGTTCAAGATGCCCCAGACATACAAATGCTCGAGGAGTTTGCACAATCAGAACAGTTTCGATTGCATCAAGAGGCGTCGTAAGCAGCTATTTGAATGATTACAAAACGTGTAATGCCAAAGAATATCAGTCACAGATAACAGGAATTGAGTATTGATGATTTTTAAGATAATGTCAACTTAAAAGAATCTTATGAAATGATGTGGGTCGTTCAAAGAATACAAACATTCACACATTCAGAATTAGTGTAAAATCAGTTCCAAAATAACTAGAAATAACATGTATGCATGAACTCACTGTAGACTAATGTTTTTGAAATTCTAATGTATAATTGATTAGAAGTGAATAGAATTTTGAAAATGACCATTTTGTATTTGAAAAATTGAAAGAAGTGAAACTCTTTTATGAATTGTTGGGCGTAAGAAGGAATCCAGTTTACGTATCGCTTTGAAAATGATCTTGAAATTTATATGGTACCGAAGGTAAGGATGGCATATAAATGTAATTTAATGGACAAATATAAACTTTTTTATATTCCTTTAAAACATAAGAAAGGAACAATTCATGAAAGAAGCTGCTGGCCACAGACACATGTAATTCTCTTAACCTTAAAAATATTAAAATAGGCAAGGAATATTCATTAAGC